CCTCGCACTTTAAGATTGCGGATCAGGAGGCGGTTCGACGGATGCCCGAGTCGACAATGAATCTTGTGAACTCGCTCCATCATAGCCTCAAGCTCCTTCTTCTCCATTGTTTCCAAAATCTCTTTCTCCGCCTGCGTCACCATGACCTCGGCGCAGAACATTGGAGAATCTAGAAGTTGAGTCGCGAGGGGTTTCCAGGGGGAGGTTGTAGTACTTGACGTGTGCGGCACTCCATGGAACACAGAAGCTTCCGAGCATCGAGTCCAGACGGCTCCACATCGCACTGCCTGACCTCCATGGTGATCTTGGTAGCTCCTCCAAAACTCTCTGACTTCAGAGAATCGTTCCAGACGTTCACTCCCATGGTGGATCCACAGCGCTTTGCATCCAATGGAGATAGCCTCTCGGGTAACCTTCAGAAAGTTTCGAGCCACCTTGCGAAGCTTCAGGAGGGCTCGTGCAGCTCGAGGATCCTCTTGATCCAGGCCTGAACCCTTTGGGAGATGGCACACTAACCATTGCGGCTTCAACTCTCCAAGGAATCGAATGGTGCGCTCGGTCCCGGCTTGGGTTGATAAGTCACATCCCTCCTTGAAGGATACGCTGGTCACCACAGCTCCTCCACGTTCCAGGTTCATCCGAAGCTGAGAGTCTCCAGGGGACCCGAGCTCCACCACTTGATTGAAGCCGCCCTTTCTCTCCTCGGGATCTTCATGGATCACTTCCTTGTACTCATTGAGGACGGCCAGGATCTCTTCCTTCTCGTGGTCCTCCAACTTCACTTCATCCTGGGGAGGCTCCTCACTCAGATGGAAGAACCCAGACATACTGCTGGGTTTCTTTGGCAATGGGAAGCCAAAGGTTCTGAGGTCTTCCAAGGTCTCCGGTTGGGCCTTCGTCACCAGTCGAGTGGTGTAGGCGGCCAGCGCCACCCTTCGTCCAGTCCATCTCATAGTGGCATGCCAACTCTTTGGATCAAAGGCCACCACTTCATGCCAAGTGGGCCGGATCTCTCCGGTCATCAGCTGGCCATGGGGTCCTTTCCTTCTCCAAAGGACGTTCTGCTCCCCTTGGCTTTCGGGGGGGGCTCTAAGCCAAACTTCTCCTCCTTCATGGGTCCCAAACGTCACAAGGTGATTCAGACTGCCCTCCAAGTTGTGAAGGTCACGATGTGGTCGGGCCTCTGTGTTTACTGAAAAAGCCACAGATGTCCATGTTGCTGACTCCATCTTAGTCTGGCTTCGGAGCCACGCATTTGTGTATCTAGTCAACCATGGGAACCTCCAAGTCTGATTCATGACTCCACTCATCGCACCATGACTGAACATGCCTAAGTGAACCACTGCTGAGTCCTTGCCCTTGATCTTGGAGAACGACCTAGATGTCCTGGCATGCACGGGTGTCATCAACGACGTGACCTCCTCCATGGCTTCCATGCTAAAGCTCTTGGCTTGATACAAGGACCTGGCTAGTGTCTCGAGCAACTCTTCATCACTAAAGACCCCCAGGTTCTCGACGTTCTGTTCGTCCGACTCTGCCAGGTTCTCGACGTTCTGTTCATCCGACTCTGCCAGGTTCTCGACGTTCTGTTCGTCCGACTCTGCAAGGTTCTCGAAGTTCTGTTCGTTCGA